AACTCTAATTCAGTGGATTCGAGATCTACAGCGGCAGAATCTATGCCCAAATTACCCTAGAATTCGCTCTTTTGTGTACGAAATCCTGCGAAATCGAGGCGATTCGCGGCCCCTGGGCAAGAACTATGTATCTCGCTTCATTTCTCGCCATTCAGAGCTTCGAACAAGCAGATCTCGAGCTATGGATATTAAGCGCCTCTCTGCGCTTGATCCTACGGTTATAGAGAGCTTCTTCTCTGAATTTGAACAGCTCCGAAGTCAGTATGGCGTCGAAATAGAGAATATCTGGAATATGGATGAAACAGGCTTTCAAATGGGTCAAACAACAAGCAATTTTGTGGCCTATGACGCCTCTATAGGGCGCCCTGTTGCTCCGCAGCCAGATAATACGCAATGGGTCACAATTATTGAGTGTATCTCATATCACCGCGCCCTAAAGCCCTATCTCATCTTTTGTGGCAAGGCACCAGAGCTACATATGTTCCCTGCTATTGATGAGCTACCTGACATTATTTGGGCCTTCTCTCTAAAGGGATGGACTGATAATGAGCTTGGTATTGATTGGCTAAGGCGGATATTTATTCCACAGAGGCCTATAGGCAAGCATTCTATTCTGATTCTTGATGGCCATGACAGTCATTCTACAGGCCTATTTCAGTATCTCTGCCTTCAAAACGACATCCATCCACTCTATCTACCAGCTCATGCCTCTCATAAGCTTCAACCACTCGATTTAGGACCCTTTTCGCCTCTCAAAGCAGCATATGGCCAATTAGTACAAAGATTTGCACCAACAGGCCTTGCAACACTTAACCGCAGAGTATTTACCAAGCTCTATATTGAAGCACGTCAAACTACATTTACTGAGCGAAATATTCGTGCTGGATGGCATCGTACAGGAATTTGGCCTCTAAATAAGCAAAAACTACTCAATGACCCTGAAATTCGAAATTTTGGACGTACTACGCCTGAGTATCAACCCCCAGCTACGTCAGATGGTCTCTATAGCACTCCAAAGCAGAGTGACAATTTACGCGCACTAATTCGTCAAATTGAGGCCAAAACAACGCCTCAAACAAGACGCGCTGTACGAAAGCTTGGCCACAGCGCTATTCAAGAGCATACTGGCGCTCAATTGCTTCGAACGCAGCTCCGAGAGCTACGTCAATTGGCTTTGAAGCAAGAGCTTACCAAACGCTCAAAAAGGATACAAAAAGAGACAAAGCAGCGGTCGTGGAATCTCGAACAGGTCAGGGCTGCTCTAGCGCCTAAAAAGGTCCATTTCGTACGCAAGGAGGGCGGCGAAAAGCGAATTCTGCGTACTGTTACATTAGAATAGGCCTATAGAAGCTATTTCTATCGAAATTAGCCAATTTGAATGAGTATAGCAGCTCTAATGCAGTAGAATTTGGTGTTGTTGCTAACCCGAAATTGGCCCGCTTTGTGGGGTGGCCCGCTTTGTGGTGTTGGGCGTTACATCGCTAGCAAGGCTATAAGGAAGAAGACGAGCTATCCTAGCTAATTGATCCGGGTATTTGCGTTCAAGCTAGCGAATCTTAAGTAGAAAAGCCTTAATGGCTCTGTGATCATCCAAATCACGTGGTTCGAAGTAGCATGATTTTCGAAATTTGGCTTCTTGAAGTTCTGAATCCTCATCATCTATATCCTGTTCTATAGCAGCTTCTGAGTAGCCTTCTCTTATGGTGTAGATTCCGCCTCTTCTGTATATCTCCTGTTTTCGCCGAGTAGTATCAAGGGCGCTATGTACATAAGTGCTCTGTAGGACTTATGTTTACGCCACCTGACGACAACTAGTAGGGACGAACCGAACTAGCCTGTTTCAAGGATTTCTGCGACTTCTGGATGCCAAGCAAGTCTTATCTTGTGTACACAGTTGTCGAGAAAAGGTAGGCAGGAAGGAAGGAAGCTATCGATTAGCTTAGAGGAGTGGGAAGCCAAGGAAGCTGTCGATAAGCTTGGAGATCGACCGAACCGAGGATTAGCCGAATTCTGCAGGGCACAGCTAGCTCGCTGCTAGGCAGGGTAGCTGACAGGGTTCTGCGGCGGCGTGCAGAAGGTTGACAGGATCGAATTCGAAGCAAAGCGAGTTTCGAAGCAGGGCGAATTCTGAACTCGAATTTCGAAGTAGAGATACTTCTGCAGGGCATAGCTAGCTCGCTGATAGGCAGAAGTTTGCAAGGATTCTGCGGGTGGCGTACAGCGCTGTGCAGATACTTAGCAAGGCTGAATTTGCAGGGATACCGTGCAGATTCGAGGTTCAGTAGCTAGCTGTGATGGTTCTGCTTGTGCACAAACGCGTGCAGAACGTTGGCAGGGCTGAATTCGAAGGGAAACCTTGACGAATTCGAGGCAGAGTAGCTAGGGCGCCCGCAGTAAAGCGTTCACCGGCGTGTCCACCAATTATTACGCGGAAGGCCATGCAACAGGGTATGGGGGTGCTATAGGGATAGCGGAGAGTCACGAAGAAGCTATAGAAGGCAACTGTATGACTGACTGGTATGAAGATGGATGGCTGATCTCTAACAGCTATAGAGGAGAAGCAAAGGGATATGGGCGTAGTGCGCCCTAACGCCCAATGCGGCATAGCGTGTGTGCAGGACTTGGCATGCGGTCAAGCCCTGGCCCAGGTTACGTACGTAACAGCAGGCCTATTACAGAAGCTGTAGATCTGTCTCTTCTTGCCCCTATCTAGGTCCAGGGGAGCAGAGAGTATTGTTCCGCCATATTACTCAGGCGAGTCGTAAGGACCTTCTTAACAACCTTCGCTAGCATGTTCTCTAGGGCAATTAGCCTATAGCTGCCGGGTAGTAAGTAGTCCTTCTTGCTCTCTTTGCGCAGGACTATTGTGATTAATTCCTTATACTATGTTGGAAGCGTACCGCATGCAAAGGCTATGCGAATGCTATACGCTAGTCCAGCTGCGATTTCTAAGGTGATTCCCTTAAGGACCTCATTTAGGATGCCATCCGGCCCTGCAGCCTTCCTGCTTAAGAGCCTATTAATTATCACTAGTACTTCCTCTGCTAAGACAAAGCTATCAAGTACTAAAGCCTAGTTCGCCTGAGTCGCGCATGTAAGCCGCAGGGGGTTCGCAAGGCTTACTAGGGGTGCCGGGAAGAATTTCTCTGCTAGGATTTAGGCCCTTTCGTTATCTAACATAGTTAGCTCGCCTCTCTTATTCCGCCGCAGAGCAGGGATATAAGGGTCAGCGTGCGGCTTTCCTGCTACTCGCCTGCTCTACTAGAAGAGCCTCTAGAGCCTGTTGTTCCTCTGCTATTTCTTAGCATTTATTAGGTTATTAACTAGGCGTCTCTAGTTCGCTCTTAATACCTGCTACATCTTCTTCTTTAGCTTCTTAAAAGAGCGTCTAAAGCTATAAAGGTCTCTTTATTCGTAAGTAATAATATACCTGCGTCTTGCATACTTTATATGTGTTAATAGCACGCTAGCTTTAGGAAACTAACTTAGGCGTGCCCTTAGGCTTAGTCTAGCTCTAGGGCAGTGTTATAGTAGTAAGGTCTCTAAGGCTTCTTAGATGCTTTGCAGCAGGCTCTCTATCTGATCTTATTAAGTTTAGTATAGTGCTTTTATAAGGCCTTCTTTATCTAGCTTTATAAGTACAAATTACATGCGTTTTACTAATGATTCTTATAGCACTTAGATGTCCAAATCTATCCTGATAGGGATGTGGTCTTGTAGCAGGGCCTAGCGCTCTTCTAGGCCACAGAAGATTACTTGATTACTTAGCACTTATAATGCGAATATAAGGTCAATTACTGAGCTGTAAGTGCCCCTCCTCTAGGTTGCCTCCCTCCTTAGGGTCAGTAGTCTAAGGTTGCGGTAGTTAGCTTTGTTAAGCAAGTAGTTCGCCTCTTGTTTGCATATAGTATTAGTGCCTCCCTAAGCAGAGTGATAAGTATTAAAGTCTCCTAGTAGTAGGACCTCTCCCTTAGCCTTACTAAGGGCGTAGGCTATGTGTCTCTATTTGTATATATATAGTCCCCCTGCTCTTAGGTTATACACGTTCAGAATTGTTAGCTTACTATTTTAGGTAGTTAGGGCTAGACTTGCTATATTTAGGCTATATTACTTTTGCCTCTAGTTTGCTATATCTACGTCTTGCCTTATTATAAAGTATACCCTGGTTTTAAGGCAGGCTTTATAGGCCAGTTTATAAGACTTAGGGCAGTAGGTAAACTAAGTGTATTTATTAAAAATTGGCTCTTGAACTGTTAGGACTTAAGGTTATATGAAGCTGTCAAAGAGGGCGCAACTCCCCTGCGAGTTGCTGTTGCCACAGTTGTATTAGACAACTAAGAGCCTATAGCTCATCTAGGCTTAGGTTAATGTTGCTCGCCCCTGCGATTATCATGCTTCTCGCCTGTGATGCAGATGTGTTATTCTGATTAATGATGAGCCTTTGCTGAGAGGAGCTTCTTACCGCCTGCTTAATGTAAGTGGGTCATCTAGCACAGCGTTAGTTATTGTCTATGTTAAAGGACTAGGCTCTTATCCTCTTACGCGAGATTAGCATCTACTTATCGCCCTGTACTTGTTAGCCTAGGGCTAGCTGTTTCGTTTCTGCGCTTATGCTATATACTATAGCTATACATATGCTATACGCCTGCATGTACAGTATGATTCATCTGCGCTAGATACCTTTGTGGTATAATTAGTAGAACGGGCATGTCTAGCTCTGCCATGCCCTGTGCTGCTTACTATAGTTGGCACATAAGACTCTCTTAGTTATATACTCTGATGTGGCATGTTAACTTGTATATTACACGTAGCACGCCTGCTTCCTATATGCGTATTAGGCCATGATTTTATTATATTACTAGCTAGTTAGCTACTAATATAACGTAGAGTTCACATCCCTCTATAAGGTCTCTGCCATGTTTTCCTATACAAGCTCAGGACTCTTGCCCTTAGGCTCACCTTTTAATAATATACTTAAGATTCAGGCCCGGCCAAACCCTTATTTATACTCTAATTGTAGTTTACTCTATAAGCATATAGCACTAGCGTTAGCTAGAATAATATCACTTTAATTTATATACAGAATGCATGCTTCTCGCAGGCTCCTAGTATAAGTAAGATAGCTGTCCTAGACTTTTTATGTACTGATACACACTGCTGTCCTCTCAGGCTATATAGACAGTCTCCTTAGTGGCTGCTATTATGTACCACGCCTTATGTCAGATTTATAGATCCTTCTCTTTGTGTTATTTATAGAAGTCTCCTTTGTATAGACTGACTATGTTTTGTAGACAACTTATAAGATATACGTATACTAGCCGCATACTAACTCCTTACTTACTAATTAAGCTTATGTTATTAATATCTTAATAAATGCCTTTATATTGCCCTTATAACTTTGCCTTAACAAATACTATATAGCTATACTTATAATTATGCTTTAACAAATATTATATAGTTATATCTATAGCTTTACTTTAATAAGCGTCTTAAATTTGTTCTAAATATTCTCTTATTTATAGACTACCTATATTTCTATAGAGCTTACATATACTAGACTGCCTGTGACACCTTAAGGGAGGTCTGTTACTTAATAGCCTTAAGGCCTTAACAAGATTCTTTATATATAAGACTCTAAGTCTTAATAAGGTTCTGCTAAATATTAATAATTTGTCTGTATTAAAGGATTTCCTCTCCTTGCTAGCAAGTCGCCGCCTACTTGTGTATAATGCGTGAACTCAGAAGGGGACAAGTACAAAGGTGTCCTATCTCTTATTTAAAATAATATCACATCCACTGGTTACAGAACCAGTTTCAGGTCTGAGTACGAGTCAGATAAACAAGAGTTAGATAGTTTTCAAAACCTAGTATCCTCTGATTCAGTGTAGTGCATAGTCGCAACGTGTACGAAACGCACGCATTACGCCCGCATAACCACAGTGGATTCTCTTTGGCTTCCTTATCATTAGTGACTGCGCTGATGAGTACTAACATTAGATATCACAAGAAGGTAAGAATCTATATCTTAACTGTCTGAATAACGAACAGCTACTTAGTGCAAGCTTATTAAGGGCTATTAATTTAAATACTAATTTAGTTTTAGGTTTTAAAGGTATCTTATAATTTTAAGATTAATATTTAGGTAAGGCTATACTTTCCTTATCTTCCTTAAATAACTCCTTAAATTTCTTATATTTTAGTAAGTA